ATTTTTCTCAGTGATGCCAAGTGGGCCGGGTCTCACAGCCTATGAACGATCTTCCGGCTACAGTGACAGTGTACTATGATGTTTCTTTGAGTAGACTTTTGGCAAAACATTTATGATACAATGATCGGAGTTTGCCACAGGGGCTCCTCTTCACACAGCAAGCAGGTAAGGATCGTTTGAAAGCATAAAGTCAAGCTGCGCGTTTCCGCTTGTGGGGAAATTTACAAGATTGTGAAGAGAGAGACAAGTCAAGAAATGAACAGCTGCATGGTTAAAATCACCAATAACGATAAAAAGAGAGAGTTCCGTGTACTAAGAAAGTTCGGATATGAAAAAATCAGCAGATGTCTGTACATTAGAAGTTGTACCGGAGAACGCGATGTAAATGTTTGATGCTACGATGGAACGATATTTACTAAGAATAAGATTACATAGAACAAAACATCTAATTTGTAACTTTTGGTAAGTATTTCCGTGATCGTCTGTTCATCAGTGATGACCAGTCTGTTTGCCTCTTCTGTAGTCACAATAATAAATCCTTTAATTCACATGCGGTTGCTGTAGGAATCCAACAACCGCATCTTTGTGCGCGCAAACTCCTCGCAAATATGAGAAGTACCTCACAACACGATTGTGAGGAGTATTGAGCGCTCGCGTAAGTTTGACAAGCGACGTGTTTATCGAATTTGGATCAGAGTGAATACTTGATTGTGGACCACTGATATACAAAACCATAACTTCTGGAGAGAAGTCCTGTAAGTAGGAGCCCATTCAATAAGTGATAAGGTTGTTGAAATGACCACTTGGAGATCCTCAGTTAGAGACCCACCAACGACGCCTATCTTCATCATTTACTGTATTTTCCCAGACAACCTTGGTATGGCCGCAGCCTCCTTCTTGGAGGTTTATTGCACACTTTTGTAATCAATAAATAAAAAGAAAGAAACGACATTTATTTATTATTGTTATCAGAACGATCAAGTTACCAATGTGTAAAAGGTCCTTGAACTGAAACCGCCAAAATGTGAACGAACGCTTGCGAGATGAAAATAGCCAACTCACCGGATACCATAATCGGAATTGGAGTAGATAGAACGCTACCAACGGTGTTGTCAAGAGGAACACAATGTGTAATTTGCCTAACACCGAGGTAAGACAAAAACCCAGTGTAGTCGTGTACAAAAACGGCCCGTAGATAGAGCGTTTGACAATCCGAAGGAACTGAAAGTTGCATTGTAAGAGGGAAAGCAAAGAAAGATGAGTGAACAAAGCGCTAAGTATCAATTCTTCTCATTATCAGAATGAGTAAATTTATACAGAGGAGCACGTACGCATGATGCTCAGGATCAGTCCCATGTAATGAAGTGAGGTAAGCTCGAAAAAAGGCCTGATCGTTACTAACCATGACTGCAATTCACCTCAGAAACCAGCAGGATTGCATAGCCGCATTGACACAGATTAGACGACCGTTATTGCGTAGTCAGAAATCATACAAGATCCGAGGCTGTGGCGGACTGGTAAATCATGGTTCTGGTTTTGTTAGTTAGTGTAGATGATTTTCAATAACCTGTACATATTTGAGAATGTTGTACAACGGCTCGTTCAAACGCGATCTCCTCCTCTCCCCGAAATAAGCACACATATTTAAAACTCTATAGTGATCGTCCTCAAACGGCTATTCATTGCCATATGATTTAGCTCCTTTTCGATAACATAACCACATTAACCCACAGAGTCACTTGTGGGTTTGAAATTCTCATGAGCAACAGACAGATTATGCTCTGCAATATGATCCCCTTTGAGTCGTCGATTGCTGCGCGGTGGTGATGATTTGATGGCCGGTTGCTTGTGAAGTCAATTATCAAGCATACAGACACCACCAACGACATTTTCCTAGCAGAGTGAACCAAAACGAAAGGCATTCAAATGCAATGATTGCATCCTAGCAATGGGGTCAATGGATTATTCACAAACGAGAGAATAGCTGCGTAATTGAAGAAGTGACAAAAGAAATATTTTGTCTGCTTTGTGAAAGATTTAAACAGGAACATGTGTACAACCGTGTGTTGCCCAACAGAAAACACGCCAAAATCTCAACTTGCAACCACGGCATTGATTTTTTTAGTTGCTTTATGATGTTCTTCGACAACTGCTTGTCAACGAATGGAACTGAGTGCACTCTATTCCCCCCAAACGTGCTGAACGATCTCAGTGAGTGTCTTATTTGTCTCTCTGAAACCTGTAAACTGGTTTCCCATTTTAGTTTTAATTGGTATATATATATATATATATATCAACCTTAAAATAGGTTGAAAACACTAGACGGATCATAAGCAGGAATAGATACGAGAGAAGCCCTATTCACTTTCAGTTTTCAAAACCCTTAACCATGCACTTTGGTGTACCGGTCTTGGTGGCTGTCTCATGACTGCCCGTTTAGATAGAGTAAAAAGAAGATAGGAATGCTCGAATCAGTGTCCGAGTGAAAAGAGCGAATTTATGAAGGCTAGGGTTATAAGAGTAATGAGTATATGCACGAACAACACTATTTACGACACTCAGCCATATCACTCAGTGTCTTTAACCATTGATCCCGATGTTCCCATCCGGGAAGGCTGAGGCGATCTATATGAGTAAGTCCCTGGTTACCGTTTTGATATCCTCCTGCCAGGTTTGTGTTTGACCCCCCTTTACTTTTCCCACCTATGACTTGACTCGGTAAACAACGCGCGCCATGGAAATCTATTTGATGATATGTGCAACATGTGCCCCAAACAACGCAGCCTATGGAAGTCGACAACTTACTCCAGTGGCCGACCGCAAATATATAAAACTCTGCGTCTAACCTCAGCATTGCTTGTCCGGTAGCCCCATCAGACTCATGCAATGCGACGTAGAAAGCGGTGCTCGAACATCGACGACCTGCTTTTAGCCTGTTTTCGTAATGACCAAGTCTCCGTGCCGTATAGAACTGGCCGGACCGCTGCGACGTACACTTCAACCTTCAGACAATCGAATGTTGCGATGGCGTCACAAATGTCTCAAGTTGACAAATGCCAATCGAGCCTTCTGCAGGCATGCCAACACTTTATCCGTTATGAATCCACGGGGTAAGATGTAGCTACTCAGACAGCAAAATTTGTTCACTATCTCTATTACTTATTCAGTTGGAGTGAGGTTGGGAAACGGACCAACCCAGCCCTGTAGCAACATTTTACACGTTGAAGGTGCAAAACGCATGCCGAACATAACTACAATGGTACTCAAACTATCCAGGAAGGCTTGAAACGTACCCAGATCTTCACTTAGCAGTGCAACGTTGTAAACATACTCCAGAGCAGACAGTTGGCCATCTGAAATCAAAACGATGCCACTATGCTCGTACAAGGACAGGGCTGCTTCCAGAATCAAATCGATAACGAAGTTAAATAGAAAGAAAAAGCACAATACTTGGTTATGTTAACCTGGATTATTAGTACCCTATAACTGAATGAGTCTCTTGGGATACCACCCCGGAATCCAATCCTACCAGTATGATTCAGTTCGGTAATGTGAGCTTGTTTGTGCTTCTCCGTTACTTGAGGGAGTGGAAGCAATCGACGCTGTTTCAATAAGTAAACAACCAGAATATTCAGGTATGCTTAAGGACGAGGTACGATTCAGAGAGAAACAGGTTTGACAGGCAGTCTAAAGGTTTATCTATCTGATTTTTCAAATATGCGAAACACCACAATGCAACCGAGGTGGTTTTGTCAGCCTTGGCGATCGAAACGGTAGCGCATGATTGATGCATGGATGGTCTGATGATGACGATTTAGTAAGGTCAAATATGATCAGCATTCGATTTTGTACGGACTGTGTATACAAACAATGGTTAGATGCACCGCACAAAACAAAACAGTGGGAAGCGTAACCATACGGAATAGAGTATCGCGGGGTGTCTGACAGGTGAAACACCAATGTGTTCGCGGGAGGCACGTGTACACACGCGCGCCTAGTTTACACAGTGCTGACAAAAGTACGAGCTAAAAAAAATAGATCGCGCGCTGTTGAAAATCGTAACTTTTCTCTAGGGACTGCAGGGGAGAGGGACTGATGGAAAAATGCATTTGATATGCCGTTCATCGAATGTCCCAATCATGAAACTGTTGAGCAGGAATTCACAGGATAAGGAATCGAATCTTAGAGATGTAGGTGCTATCTCACTACCTGTGAAAGCGACTCGACCCTTGCCTCTCGATATCCCGGTAAGTATCAGGAACAACCACCGATTAGTCAAAGGAAGATGTTTTGTTCCCCTAAAGGTACTGGCAGTTCAACCTGAGTAAGCTCGAGTGTCTGAAAGCGAATAGCTTAGCAAACGAAGGTGTAGCACTGAACTCACTCACCGTTTAAAGTGAAGCTACTTCATCGGAGGTGGCAGTGATTTAAACAAGGCTAGAAGACCTAGCTGAAGAAGCGGTCTCAGGATGTTGACGATCCTGGAGGAATCTATGCTACAAAAGAGAAGGATGAACGAACGAATGATCCAAGCAACCAATGCCTGTAACCATGCGAAAGCATACAGGTGGAACAGGCAGACCAAAGATGGTGACAACTTTCGAGCATGTTACACTGTACGTCTGAAGCCATTGCATAATCATAATATGGCAAAATCTCAGACGATAACCCGTTAAGATAGTACGGTAAGTGCGAAACATAAGCCAGTCGATTTGACAGTAAACAGTCAAGGATGACTTCACAACAAGCAGTAACCTGTTATTTGTATCACACCAAGAATAACGACGTCCAACTGAGGTCCCGTGTTGTCTACGCGCCTTTGAAAGGATCAAACAGGAAATAAATGGTATAAGCGAGAGACGAGCGAGCAGAAATTCAACAGGCGAAGCGTACCTTTACTGCATGCAACAACTGAGTGTCTCCTCGAAATGAAAAAACCGTGTGGATTGCTGTATCCCGCATCGCTGGAAGAAATGATGCGTCCCCATCGTCCTGCCCTTATAGTCCAGTTGGATGAGCAGAGAAGAGCAACGTGAGCAAAATTGATTTCGACCCTCAAGTTCAAACGCTCTCAACAACAGCTGCCAAAGCAACTGAAATAGATTTTGGTCACATTTTTATTTTCACTCCGTTAAAATGGGAAAGGAATATCTCGCAACCCGTTAATTTCCTTATTACACACCGTTTATGTTATGAACAGCAGATGGGAGAAATCCCACGATCACGAGGATCACCTGCTTAGCCATGGAAAGCAGCAACCTATGCTCCAGGGCTTGAACTAGCAAATCACATAATATCCAGATAGGTTAAGTGTGGTATTGAGTCGAGCAACAGCGAAGATGCCTACCACCAAAGTGAAATAGCAATGGTGGGGTTCACACGGTAACGTGATTCCCTTGTGGTATGGTGCACAAATGAACTACGTAGTGACAATGTTGGCAAGCGCAGCCCATAAATTTTCGCACAGAGACCAGTAGTTTTTTTAATGCCTAACCGAGGAAACTTGAAGAAATTAAAAAGTGGTAATTAGTTCCTCAAAACATCCGTATTCAGTCAACTCCTAAATCGAGTCATGAGTAAACTTGATCTCCGGATTGGTTGCTTCTCTATGATTAATGACAAAGAACCCTATTATCGTTTCACATAGAGTAGCTTCCAGTTCCGCTATGGCAGAGTCTAATCGGGTAGAACCACGTTGCATAACATGATGGAGCACACAGTATTGATTATTCGAAAGAATAATCAAATGGCTGGGTGGAACGAGTTTATTGTCAAAGTCCCTGGAATGTCTGTCCTTGTTTGTTTACCTGCACGCGAACCGCTTCACCGAAGTGTTTTCGCGATATGGATGCAACAGGCGAACAAAGGTGGGTGAAAAATGCCAATCGAAAATCTATCTGTGTACCTGGTGAGATACAGTTGTTTTTGCACGCACAGATTCATGTTGAGAGCGAGAAATATGGGAACAGTGAAGCGGTGGTGTCTATTGCACCAAGCAATCGACACGGCGACCGTGGAGAGCAATTTGAGTATACACTTAGCATAACAAATCGAAGAGAAAGAAGACGCCGAATACGTTTATAGTTGTAGCGGAGGCACAGAACTAATAAACAAAATCGAAATGGAACGACAAGGAAATCTTACATCTTTTTCCGCAGCGATTGTGATAAATTCTAGTCCGAAATTGATATAGTAGCCACTGTATGTCCCGTGCCAAAGTGCGAGAAAAAATAATGTGATGAACTGCGACAAATACTTGTTCCCGAGAAATCGCAGTCGTTTATAGACATACCTGAAGGACGAGAATGGACAAAAGAAATAGATCAATAAAGGAGAAGTACAGAGTCAGACACATGCTAAACTCGTTAACTATTGTATTTATACTAAACGAAAACAGTTTGTAGGCAAGAAAAAAATGCAAAATAATGAAGAACTACAATTGGTTAGATTCGGAGAGATTTGATAATTCGATTCACAGTGGTTTTGGTTATAAACACAACGGCAAGAAAAGGTGCCTCAATGTTAAGCTACAGAAGGCCCAGATATTTCATCAAACATCAACTAGGTTGAGTTATGTCGCACTGTTCACTAGTTTCCGGCGAAGTGGAGGGACAACATTCGCTGAGAATATTCAACAACTATATTTCATTGGAGATTAAGGTCAATCATCTGCGATAGGCCTGCTCAATGATCAAGTTAAAATCATAAAATAGTTAGGAAAGCATGAGCATCATGTTCGAAGCATATCGAATTGGGGTATGTACCAAAGAAGGAATTTCATCACGACGTCACTCATATTGGTGGTAAGAATTTGTAGGGCAAAACAAAACCATAATGGTGCGGACACGTGTCTCATTCCATTCAATCCGTATCGACCAAAATTTAGACCTTGAAATGCCTAAAATACAAACAACAATCATTTTACTTTCACAATGAAGGCAGGAAACACTGGAAAGTCGTAATCCAACACTTTTTTGTGAAATTACGTGATTAGAAACGTAGTTTGGAATTTCCTAATTCTCTATTTCTTCTCGTTTCCGGCTCTGGTGATCAAAAACATTAGTTATTTGAGCGAAACAAACGTGAGATCTAGAGAGTAACGGGAAAACAGAAAAACCATTATATTCGAAAGAAATTATTTGCATGTATGACCGCACAATTTGGTTTAACTAACTTTATTCGAGGAAATTAATGCAATGCATGCAACATAAGAAAGCACATCTATAGCTTTGCGAAAAGAAACCGACGAGATCAAAGTTCGAGATCGGATGGCAAAAAGCCGTAGGTAGATAGTACCATACAAATTGTGCGTCGGAAAATTTCTACATAACCAATCGGTTATCTGACGCAGTCCGATGCCTCTTGGAACAAACAGCATTATTTACCTGACGCCTGTTCAAGATACTATCCCCAGGCACTTGGCGATGACTATCCGACCGAAGCAACTCAATATAGATTTTCACCTCAACACTAAAGAACTGACGTATTATCAGTGCACATACCAAAGTTGATTTTATGTTCATTTGTTCTCTTTGAATGGAGTACGTATCGGTAGGATTCATGGAATCAAAACCCAAAGGGAAAAATGAAGAGTGAAAAATGTCAAAGTAAATACTTTCAAAGAACAGTTGAAAGTACAAATAGATCAGTTACTTCTGAAGGATCATCCCAACCGTCAACACGCACGATTTTAATCTGCATCCCATACAAACAACCTCAAAGACTTGTCTCTGACCTTACCCAATTGGGGATTTTTACTCCGGGATTAAGACGAATCCACCGAGCAGAAAATCCGAGCTATTATAGATTTACGTGAAGTGTGCGTTTGAATAAAATGATTCTTTCACATTATGGTAGCAAAATGTTCCGGAATAAATGCAGAGTAACCTGACATTCCCCATTGCGTGTTAAATGGCACCCCTTTGGTGGACCGCTTCTCTCTTCCTGAAAATTATTTTTGTATATTCAGTAAAAGGAAATAAAATGAAAAGAAATGAAAAATATAATATGTTGCTACATGTCGGGCATTTGAGTTGAACAAAAGGATATTCCTTGATGGTATACTAACAATAACGGTATCGATTTTTTATCGCACACATACTTACACTAGTGTGAGGAACGGGAGTTAATCACGTAACAAGCCAAGCTAAGTATTTGCTTTATGCACCCTGAAAGGTGAATATTCAGCAGCCACATAGTCAACCAACAATATACTGTTGATGCACGAAAAGCTGTAACACAATCTTTAGAATGTGGGTTGGCGAATTGTTAAAAGCGGAGACAGGATGGGTTTGATATTGAACCGGAAAACATCGAAGTTGTCCATCACCATCACATTCCACCAGTATCTAGCTTATTCAAATTCGATTCCTTTATCCTAGTCATACTGATTCATCATGTAATTTTACTTATTCGTTGATTAACCGATGACTAGTCAAAAACAACATTCAAAACCGGAACATAAAACGGACCTGTGAATGTCATCTGTCAAACTGTGCCCATAATATGGGCATGTAACACAAGAAAGACCGGAAGAAGACGATGGATGAGAAATGGAATATAATTACACAGCTTGAGTAAGAACCAAACATAACAGATATGCATCTATGGTTACATGCAACTCCATACGGTTGTGAGAAGGGTATCATTAAAACAGGATGAAGGACTGCATCAAAGAATTCTTACGAAATAAAAATCATCACCTACCCCGAACCTCAAGTTCCGCAACTGACGAAGCTTAATTGGATATACGTAACAACCGGACCGGTAGTAAATGCATCATCAAACACAGGACATAACAGATCTGATACACGAGTCCCGTGGTATCCCGCTGCTGTGTTACCCAAACTTTTGAGTCTAAAATTCACGTTTAGCTTACCAAAAAAAACCGATGCAGAGTGAGTTCTCGTGGAATTCTTGTCATAACTTCAAGAAGGCGGGAGAAGGACAACTGACTTTCAGAAGTCAAAGTCCCTGCGCAAAAGATGCTCAAACTGGGAATCTGCACACTGCTTCTCCAAGAGCGGTATACTCATCTCACTCTTTTTTTCTACATCAATCGACCAATCCGGGCTTCCAGTCATGCTTGTATACGAATAGATCCCTCCAGGGATGAGATGGACAAGTACCCAACTGTTAACCGCTTGGTCAACCCTCAAATTGCGAATCAATCGCAATACGTTGAAGTGTCGAGAATGTGCATTCAGACACATGTGTGGATTGCATTCGAGATCGTTTCAGTAAGAACATTGGGCATACCATGAAGGTACCTCGGTAGACCACTTACAGTGTCCGTCGACTGAGTCAATAAAAATGTTGATGCTCTACCTTCAACTCTGCTCGGAACATTCCACCCTTCCTTCTGCTATTCTATCCAAATTGGTGGCCAAAAGACAGCAACGAAAACCGGTGCATAAAAATGCATGGTTAACGGTTACAAAAACCGAGACCGCATGTTTATAACTCCCTTCCTCATCCCGCAGTAAATGCGGTGAATCACGAGGTATTTTGCTGTCTTTGCCGTTTGATTCAAATGGATTAGCATGACAGATAAAGACCAATCCAGATCGATATGTTCAAAAAAGACCAATTTAAAAGTTGCACATTTTGGTTCATCTTTTTCTAAAGTGGGTACAACTATGAACTACTTCGTACAGCTCATTTCAAATGGTGGTGGAGTTCATCGATGGATCTTTGCAATGAAAGATTCTTTTTACTTATTTTTTTTCTCGATGTTCCAGCAACTCGCGGGGTTTTTGAATTCAGCCGTGCCAAAATCTGCCACCTGATTTTTTCGCGATTTTACAGTGGAAAACTGCGTCCTATCCTCAATACGTTTTATTAAATCAATTCGTTCAATTCTCAAGGTCAAATGCTGTCCTACGGCCGCACATTTTTTGATCCCCCACCGTTTCATCGCGTGTGAACTCCAATTTTCACGTTTTGCGCATTGTGTGCGAAACCGCTACCACCGATTGAGGGAGAAGGGGCAAGGACAACAAATAAAACATCGCGCTGGTTGGAGGGTCGCTCTCAGGCGGCGTTCCATTAACAAACTGACTGTACCTGTTATTACCTCCAGTAACATCCGTTCACTCCTGGGAAAAGTTGATGAAGTCAAGAGTATGTTACATGAAAAAGTGTGCAAAAACGTTGGAATTATTATGCTCCAGGAAAGCTGGTTACATCCTGACATTGAGGACGGCATTGTACTGCTTGATGGATTTGATATCTTTCGAGATGATCGGATTGTGACCTTCAATAAAAGAGGTGGTGGAGTAGTCACTTTCGTCAACCGTATGTGGTGTAACAGCTCTCATCCTTTGTTTCATTTTAATACCAGAAAAATCAACTGCATTTTCGTTCAATGTAAACCCCGTTTTCTTAGTAATTTTAATCATATCCTGCTAGCAAACATTTACATTGTTCCTGACAAGCCCACTTCTGACATCCGAATGTTTTCCGACTCTCTCTCAACACAATTCGCGACGGGCTTGGACCAGGCACTGTGTATTGTGGCTGGTGATTTTAATCGTTTCGATATTTCTTTCTTAAGAACTTCAGGTTCGGTTCATCTTGTTCACTTTCCCACTCGTTTGGAGGCCCAGCTTGATGGCATTTTTGTAAATATCCCAGATGTCTTCCCTATAGAAAAACGAGCCTCTATTGGCACATACGACCATTGCACAATTCTTTTGCACCCAAAAATCTATGGTTAAAAGTTTCATCGTCAACAAGCACAGGTAGCAACCCGAACAATACGAAGGAGGAATTTTACACATGATAACTTATCTCGACTCCAAGATATGATCTCTTCAACCGATTTTTCTGTCTTCTCCAATTCAAATAATTCTTCCAGATGTGAACATCTCACCGGCTACCTTAATTTCTGTTTTGATTTGTGTTGCCCGATCGAGACAACATATATCCGTGCCGACAGATTCTCATCGCCTCTTCTAAAACGCCTTCGACGTAATAAGGAGAAGGCATATATGAATGGCAGGTGCTACGATGTCAAACGACTCTCGATTATCATCAAGGCAGAGATTCAGCTCTTGAATCGGATGCATGTTGAAACCACCCAGGGCAACCAGAGCTGTCGCGAGATGTGGTCGGCGTTGAAGCAACTCTGTGGCACACATGGGAGCCCCTGTCCTGACGCAGAAGAATTAAACCGACAATTTTCTGCCTCCTTTGGATCCAATTCTGTATCGTCCGTTTTCAATTCTTCAGAAACCACCAACCCCGTTTCTCCGACCGAGGTTCTCAAAGTTTTGAAGCAACTTAAGTCAAACAAGGTCCACGGACCGGACTCATTAGCCCCTATTTTATTGAAAAACTGTGCCGAACACCTTGTAACACCCGTTGCTGAGTTGTTTAATTTGTGTATGTCCTCTGGAAAAATCCCTGATTCCTGGAGAGCTGCTCGGATAAGACCCATTCCCAAGAAGGGTTCTTCAATATATCGACCGATTGCATGTACCTCAGCCCTGTTGAAGGTCTTTGAAAGAGTGCTGTTGAACCGTTTGACTACCCTCTCTGATGCTTTTGATCCTCTTCAGTTTGCTTATAAGAAATTCCTTTCGACTGTTGACGCTGTGGCGTACGTTGTCCATTCTGTGGCCTAAGTTCTTGATACAAGTGCTGGAACTGTTCGCCTTAATTTTCTTGACTACGCCAACGCCTTCGGTTCGCTTGACCGTCGCATTCTCACTCAACGTCTTGCTGATTGCGGCTTAGGATCCGACGTATTAAACGTTCTTGTCAACTACTTCTCTTCTAGAACACAATTTATCTCATGCAATGGTAAAACGTCGTCCCCTTATGTTAACTCTGGTGTCTTCTAGGGCGCCATTTTGTCTCCCTTCTTTTTTCTCCTGTACATAAGCCACCTGCCTGTCCCCACCAACTTTATTACCTGTAAGTATGCCGACGATGTGGTGATTAGGTGCCCCTCAAATACCGATGCTTCTGTCGATCAACTTCAAAGTAGCCTGAATGACTTTTTAGTTGGTCTTTACCCCGATCACTGTTGCTTAATGTTTCCAAATGTGTTGACGTTCGCTTCAGTCTTAAATCTGGCTCCCGCTATCAAACTACCTTTATTAATTTACCGGATCTAGTAGTTAACAGTCACAGCATTCCAAAACCTGTTAAATACCTCGGAGTCTTTTTATCCCACAACCTCTCTTCGACATTACATGTAGAGAACATTTATAACAAGGTCCTTAAACTTTCTTTTTATGCTTTCAGGCTTCGGAAGCTTGCTGTTCCCCCAAACGTAATTCAAAAATTCGTGGTAGCATTGAGGTATAAACCCTGTTTTTCACTCTAAAATTGACTTTTTCCCCTATTTTTCTCATATTTTCAATCATTTTCTATGAAATTTAGATTTCCGAATTTTCGCGCCAAGAAAGACTCATTTCGCACCACCGGCCATCCTGTCCCTGATTGGTCCGTTTTTCTCTGACTCATCACTTTTGAGCTAATTTACAAGGTCACTGATGGCCGGTCCCCAATTTGTATATAAACGGTTGAGCTGTCCAGTCTCATCGCCTTTTCGGGTCGAGCCAAATATACAACCTCGCCTGAAGGCTTGCTTTCCTCTTTCTTCCTGGTCGGATTCCGGGGATAGTACGGGTCCGCGTGTCGCTACTATCGTTACCGTTGTTGGCCGTGTCGCTTTCGGGTACCGCAGTCGGGCACCTCGGAATCGCTACTCCACCGCTGGGTCACACGGTCTCTTCAGTTCACGGGTCTACGCATATCGCTGGTCGGATCCGTACGTTGCAACAAGCATGCATCCTCCCTCATTGTCTCTACTGTTCCCCTGTATTTTTTCCAGGCTTAAAGGAAAAAGATTTCGTATTAATTTCCAGGTCTATTACGCTCCTTTCTCGATGTAGCGGTATAGCCAGAGAAGTTCTAGTTGATTCTATTGTGTGCAATATATCGACGCATGTGAAAGAATAGCTGACCGAATCTTGAACAACGAAGATCGCTGATTGCACAAAGAACTTACTAAATCCCTGTCAAACCCCCGTACCCGCTCTCATTATAGGCTACTTCCCGCACGCACCGTCGCATACAGAAACAGCATCCTTCCGTTTTTTGCTCACTTTCTAGTAAATCTGGCATTTATTATTACAGGTTTGGTTGAACACCTCATTAGTTAGTTTATTTATTCCTTTTTTTATCCGTCTCTATCGTCTTCCTGCGTTCAGTTTTCTGTCGTTTTTTTAAATTAACCTATTCACACTCGGAGGCCATTCACCTCAGCTCCACTGTATTATCGTGAAAAAATCGCTGAAAATTCACCCTATGGGTGTATAAAGCTTACTTTGAAAAAAAACTCATTTAAGTCTTTTCACAGCAGAATACCGATTTGCGTTCACCGTGTATATGAAACCAAATCGAAAACTGTTAGTATCAATACTCCAGTAAATCGGATAAAAGGGTCTTATCAACCGACTGACAGCATCACATTCATGGAATACTTAAATAAAAATATTCATTTCAGGCCAGTTTGTTGGTACAAGCATAGACTATTGATGCTGTAACAAACAAGAAATTAATTTGCAGCCCATTCGATTGTTCAGAGGCACCAGGAACTGTTGACGGTCTTGGGTGCAAGTTTCACTCCTTGGGAGATTGTTGATTTCCTACTAGTTGACCGTGTAGCTCAGGAGTAAGGGTTTGAGGTCCCAACCCGAAGGTTCGCGGCTCGAGTCCTAACAGGGATACAAAAAGTACGCACGGCTGACTAGTCCCAAACAGGACGAAACACCTATCCAGTGCTCTTTGTGGGTCATCACATATATTTCTGTCGTGTTTAAAAGAAGCTGCTTTCATCTTGCATTATGAGGAAACACTGTCGTGAGACAGAACACAATAGTATATTAAGTTTCATTGTAGCTCTTGGAAAATCAAGTATTGCGAAATGACCATGCCCATTCGAATACACCTTGGTATCAATGTTCAGCGGAAATAGTTTGAACGCTAAATTATATTATTCTGGATCGATAATTGCGTCTATTCCATTGGGTGTAGTTTGATAAGACTGAACACGCTGAATAGTTCTGTAAGCAGATTTATTTGTACTTTTCGTTAGTTTACACCAAACATACCTAGTCAGATTATACTGGCAGCAAGATGAACGCATCACGCGACCTTGTCACGATTCCAAGTGCAAAATGATTGGAGGACAGACAGATTCGCTGTTCCAACGATATTTGAATCGATTTGCCTGGATAACGCGATAGACAGATGCTTTTTATCTGTAGTTAACAGCACCACGTATTTCCGAGTGTGGCGTCCCTCTACAAGTACTGAAGAAGATACCTCGGCTAGTGGTGAAACGTTTACAAACAAATTGCCAAGCTCGATGAAAGGATGAAAATCAACTTGGCTAACGTGAGTTAAGAGAACCAATTTTCTATACTTCGTCAAACCGAAGAGAAAATCGTAAGAAACTGAAATTTTAGGCCATTTATTTCAAGGCTAGCATCGCTGATTGAGATGCCCTATAGTATAGTATAGGATAGACTGGTAAAGGTAAACAACAGCTAGCTTCTAGAACAATAAAAAAACAGAGGTGTCAAACGCACAATCTTGCACGAAAACTTACTCCAACATCCATTTGTTTGTGTTGATATTGAATCCAGCTACCAAGTTGTCTGTATTGGTGGCAAGTAAGAGGTTGGCAAGCGATATGTTTGCACAAGCTGTGTGATCTGCCTCGTAAATCTCCACCTTGGTCGGATCATATTCTCCCGTCAATGCCTTCAGATCCCCGGACGCTTGAGTCCAATCGATCGCAGAGTCACGTCTATCCAGAGCGGATTTGGTTCGCATATCGACTGGCTCGTGACCCTTGGACCAGCGTTGTGCAACATTTCTTTGATCGATTGGACGAACATGAACAAAACCCGTGCATCCCAAGCCCAACATTACGCAAGCGCCTTCCTGAGAAAAAAGGGATACCGCAAACTAATATGAAGCATCTGGTGGATAGAATTTATGATTCACGTAATTCGTTGAAGCAGTTTGGTTTGAAAGATTCTGTGTTTCAAGGTAGAGAGATGATTTGATTCTCATTGTCGTGGATATTTCAATTTAAAGGCAAATGTTAAAAACTTCATGGATCTGCCGGAATAATCAATCGATACTAGTAGATACCAATTCTTTGTAGAGAACAATTTCAAGACAGAACAGGCTTTTGGTTAGGGCTGTATCTTTGTCCATCTAACAGAATATGCCATACAGGTAGATGAAAATTGGTTTCCAAGTCCCAAACCACCTTGTACCTTAGTTGAGGGTATGGTGTATACCATACCGCGAGCCAATTGTTGGTACTGGTGACTGCGAAGACCATGGCTCACACATCAACAGACCTGTTGAGAATACTCACACATCCTATGCCACAGCACAGCCAACAAGTGCGATAAGGCACGTTTGTTGTTCGCAACAATCATTCGGGTGCTAGCAATCAAGCGAACAGTTCTTTGACAAGACTATTATTGATTAGGCTGTGTGATAAGGGCATTGTACTACCATTTGCGTCAATCCACAGATTAGATTATGCTAACGGAGGCTCTTCTGGGTCTATTGAGTTCTCTCTCGCTCAAAGTGAGTGTGGGTGGGTGCGTGTTTGTTCAGTGTGCACGTGCATACGCCTGCCTTGTGTTCTGTTGGTCTGCATGAAAATCGTACGATGTATCCGGTGTGACCTTGAACGGCAAAACTGACACGACACAGTCAGTCCGAATCGCGTCAACCTGACTCACACTGTGGGCTGTTGTTTACACCTACCAACCGGTTCCTAATCGAAAACAAGTCATTAGCTTGCAAATGTAGTTCAGAGTTTCAGTGAAACAAAGCTCTTGGGATTGTGAAAGCAGTTGCAAACCAATGGCACGAGATGGCTAAAACTTAATGTAAAGGATGTAGAACATTTCCGTAGTCAAAACAATGACAAAAGCACTAGTGTCATTTTCATGTTATATTTCATACACAGTGAGTGCGCTATCAATTACCAGGAACTCATAGCCGATTGCAAGTCTTCAGGGAAAATAACCAGGTCAAGAAGTGAAAACGTGATGAGCGAATTCGAACTGACAACCTAAGAAGTGGTGTACTGACAACTCACGCTGTTCGACTACGATTACACAAATGAGAAACTGACCGTGACAGTGACAGTTTGAAACACTGAGTTTCTAGTGAGCTGTGTGTCTGTGTGTGTATTCTCATTCCGAAAGTGAGTGACTTCCATTGACCCATCAAACACCCAATCAAATTTAGACAGTGCTTGTTGGACTGTAGTTTTCCAACGATTGTTCAATCGGACACTTCACTGCCCTAGTTTTGGAGATTCGCTTTCACAGACGTTTGTACTGCATTTAGGTTTCCATAAAATGAGTAAATACTGTCATCGTCCAAATGATGAAAAGTTCAAATTACTGTGCACAAATTACTAATGCACAAACACAACTGAGATACATGTATGTATGTTCAGGACCAAAAATGTACACGGATCGCGGGTCGTAAGTAAGGACGATCACATTGTTGCATTTGCAAATGTGAGCAAACGCGAATTGAGGGAAACATAGTCAGTCCTAACGACTAGAAAAAGAATGACTTATGATGTGAACGGAAGAAACTTTGCCACATGAGGATTCAGCTTTTCACTTCATCGTTCTGGCACACTCCACATGAAGCAACGTTCGAGATGTATCAACAATCTAATAATGTGTGACACTTGGTCGGTCTTTCGTAGAGCGATTAATCAAACTAATACAAACATGCATCCAATGGGCCTTGGTTATGTGTATGGGTCTTCATTTTCATCCATACAAATTCTTCGGATAGAAAGCTGTCAGCAGTAGGTGTTACGCGTACAGACGGACGGACAGGTGAGTTCGTTTGCGGAGGCAATTTGTGCCACCTACAACCGAACCAATACATTATCTAGAGCGAGACTGGATTTTACGGCACTAACTGAACATTTTGTGTGATTAGCAATGGTGCTTACGTAATGTACAAGATGTTTCGTATTACCTAAAGAAATTATTCACGGCGGATCTATCCGTCCCCATATTCTAAAGCCCCAAACACGTCTCGTTCAAAAACCATCACGTGGTTTTGGTGACCCGTTGGTAGTGCTTTCCAAGCACCATTATCTGCACTGTCCTTGACCGTCCGTTCGCATCAAACCACCGTGTGCCAAAGCTTTACAACATCCTACTTCCTTTGGGCCGCTTAACTACCGCATACTGTATATGTATGTATTTAGTATACTGCCCTTGACCATCTGAGTCAAGCTGCTGATATTCGCTTGTTAACCGTGCTTTGTGTGCGGTCCTACCTTGTTCCCCATCCATCACTCGTGATACTGAGCCTGATATGTCTCAATTAATGAGAGCCTTCCGCGGCCCAAATACCATAACTGGTAAGCTTCACTCCTTATCCCTTAAATGACAGTAACGGTACATGCTATCCTTCCGGTGGCTGTTTCTACTCGACAGTGAGCGTTCTGCTCGTATTGTTTGGACTGTAACTGCAGTTGCACCTAAAACTTCTGTAGCGATAAAGTCGGCAGATCTCAGATTGCTTCCCTATTAGAAGTGTGATGCATCGCTAGTACGCAGATAATCGACGTTTCCTTTTCTGTAATTGGAATTGGGGTTCGTNACAGATACTCGATCACTGGACGACGGTCTGGTAGATGCGTCCAATTGCACCTATCGGTCAGGTGATGTTATTGCTTTCAACCGGGATATACTCCTATTCATTCATCATGGATGGGTATATAACAATGTACATTGTTGGTCGAAAAAGGAATTCATCAAACTAAATCACGCATAAATCCGACCAATTGCCTAGAACTGCGCTCACCGTAAGAAATATCGTGGGAATCAATGAAATAGGGTTTCAGATATGTACGACAGATGGAAGGATATGATGCGCAAGATCCAAGGGATAGAGGTTCACGAACAGAATGAGTGTACTAATATTCCGATGAGTTGGGAGTACTGTCACGAGGTGGGGAGATATTTGCTCTGATAAGAAAAGTGAGCTGCTTCTCATCGGAAAAGCCACGCCTGGTTCGAAGAGGCAACCGTTATCGTGAAGTAAGACAACACGGAAACCGTGCTTCCTCGTTCCAACTGATATTACTCCATTGTGTTCCAAATCACTGGCACCGATATAGCACCCACTCCAGGCCCACCAAGGAATCTTCGCCCGTCGTACTGCATTACGAAAACCTTTGTGCGACAGTCGTCTTGGTGCAAGTTCTCAGCTAGGAAAAGCAGATTCCTCCCTTGAGGATGAAGTGACATGGCGCTTCCTCCACAGACGATTAGATAGACCTTGTTGTAGCCTATGGCTTGTCGAATAATACCGACAACTATCAAACGTAGTGATAAACTGAATGTGAACGAAGGTCAACTAAGTACCGTCCACGAAAATCAAGCCACCTGATTGCATCTCCTCTGGGAATTAGGAGCACGGTTTTATGTGGCTCGATGGACTTGTGCATGAATTGTTCTGGTGCAGTGGGATTTATTTTTGAACCAGCGGTGTATGCGGTGAAACAACAGCGGTAACAGAAACCTATATGTGAGAGAGAGAGGGTGAAAATCCGACCGATCTAAACAGTCCGTCGGTTGTCTTGCGATCAGTGACTTTTGTTGCTAACCGTGGCGTTATGCTATAGTCGTGCCTTTGAAAAAAATAGAGCTTAAAATAACGCTTCAACCAATTGGAAAGGAATCATTTATCCCTTCGAACTATATTGGACAAGTGGTATCCAATCGGTGAATGGGATAAGGGGGGGGGGGTAAATAGNACAGTAGTGAAAAGAAAGAAGGCTGGCGCATTGCTCAGTTGCTAGGGGATACATACAGAAACAGGGGAACAACAAACCAAAAGAAGGCAGACCGATTGGAATGATCGCGCATTACGTAATATCGAACAAATAGAAAAGCTTTGATTTCGAAAACAGCGGTAATCGAGTACACGGTTTCGGAGCTATATACATTCAACATTTGAATTATCCACTCCGATTCGCGTGTGAACAATGGTCAAGCAAAGCGCAATAAAAACCAACAACCGCTAGTTTCGTGTGATAGGTGCGTAGCAATGAGAATATTGTTCGTCAGTTCCACCTTTTATTGTTGCCGGATGAATACAGTCGTACTAATTTAAGCAGCATTTCCAAAATACAGATACTGTGGCGGTTTCGTGGTAAAACCAGTATGGGATTTTGAATCCAAAACGGTAGAGTGACTAGAAACAATATTTTGGACGTTAGAGAGTACTAAATTAAAAAAACATTTGTGCTGACGAGGTGAACAATCGAAAATTAACGGAACGTCTGCTGGGCAGAAAGAAGAAGCACACACACAATGCACTTACTCCAATCAACCAGATGGCCACGTATCGGAACAATGTGATTTGTGAGAAGACAGCCATAAACATGAACCGAGACAGAATACTCCAGTCCTGCAGAACAAATGATAGAACACAATTCTTAATGAGAGATGGGTTACATAAAACGTTTCGAGAAGGAACGAGTGTGATGAAGTTCGCCCGAGGGTTACTATTTTGCAAATAAATTCACTCACTTGGGAATTCGCATTATAACGAGATTATACCACAGCCGCTTCCTCTGAAGTGATCTTCTTTGGAGGTTTGCTCTCCGGAAAATAAGTATGTACGACAGATGAAGGAAGAACGATCGACTGGTAAATCATTCCGGTCTCACGATGAAATCGTTGCTAGTAATCTGCGATTTGATTTGATTTTCTTAAGATAATTTTATTCCCAAGTAGTGATAGGTATTGAAATGTATTGGTATGAATACGAATCTCCGAAAACGAGCTTGTTGTTTTGTTGTTTTGTCGTTTTATTTGAAAGGTGCTTTGTGGGACTCCTTCGACATTATTTCTTTATTCACAAGGAAACTAAATCACTGCAGAACCACCTTTCATCGACCTAAGTGAAATCAGACGACTCCCAAAGGTAGTATTTAAATCAGCATTTTGGTTTAAAAACCAATAACGGGTTAACTGTTCTGTGTATAGACTCCCAGTACATGTTCAAAGGAAAACTTTTTCGGAAGGACCAACTATCAGAGTTGTGGAGATTTAATAATATAATGAGAATAACAGGAAAAACAGAATAAAACCTCTGGAGTGGAAAACCGTATACGATCCTAAACGACAGTGTTCCGAATTCGCAGCCACCTTCCCCCCACCTCCCCTCAGTACCCACCGTTAAACGAAATTCATACATATATGTTTTTCAATGAAGACGATAGAACTACTCATTTTGAGAAGCCAAAAAACGATTCTGTTTTCATTAGTTTCGTCTGTGTGCAACTTCAACCGATTCGGTCACTATCGNACGGTCATCGATCTGCCGTCAAAATACAACCACCCAAACTGCTACCGATGCCAGAACCTTTGCGAAAACCCAAAGTGCAACTGCAGATTAGGAAAGCGTCATTGAGCTCGAATACCGGGGAATTTATGCGAGAATCTCATGAGCATTCACCCAGACTGATTACAAGTGATCACCAGTGATCATAGATTACGAAAACCAGCTTAGAGGGGCCATAATATCTGGCAATCCTTGTAATCTGTTTTATGTACATTGTTTGTATTCAGTCAATGGAAACGAAAAACCCAGGCAAGTGTTTAGTGTACCAGAGAACTCCATTACATTCATAGTACGAGCACAAAAGTTCCATTCAGCACCACAGTGGCTTCCAGATCGAGATGGTGAAGCAAAACAGTGCTCATCAGGTTTCGGTTAATCGAATTCGGTGGTTGTGAATCCCAAACAAAATCAGTTGCTTTTTTCAGGGCAACCTGGCAGTATTCCGACCACGATCGATCGATTTAATGGTTGTGAAAACTTTTGTGCCATGTTTTTCGGCACACCCTAGACACAGATAAGTACAAAATATAATTACCTGCAACACTGAGTTCTATTAAGTGAATGAAAAATACTGTTTCTGTAGGCTATAAGTGGCCAGGTAGCTATATTTCTTATGTGTTTCGTACTTAGAGTGCAAAACAGACCAAACAGCATGAGGTTGACGAAAGATGCACTGGTTATTTTACATGTGGATTACATGACAGAGTTTGTGTACTGTTGTTTGTGTGGCTTTCACTCGAAATTATGATACATTTTGTTAAGAGCGTTATGTGTGGCTCAGAACCTAGGGTTTTGACCCCCGGAGCCAGAGTGTTACCGTTCGAGTCCCAACAAGGGCATTGTTGCAGAGTCTGAACGAGGACGAAACAGCGGACTCGTGCTCTCTGTTGTTGGCCTTCTCACAACATTCTCAATGGGGATAAGATTGAATTCGTTTAGAGACGGAACACTACTTGACAAGTCACAAATCCGGCCAGGAAAATCCAAAATAAGCTTATCACGCGGAGATAGGGCTCGTTTGCTATTATTTTTCGGAGTGACATTCCCCGGTCCATAGAGAATCGAATGTATCTATGATTTCTATGCACATAACGTGTAGTGAGACTGTCAGTGATTTATCGCCTGTGTTCCTAAAGTTACACCGGTATGTTGGGATAAAGCAATCATGATGTTGAAAACAGAGTACTCTGATTGGAAGAATGGATGTTGAAGAAAGTGCAACCGTCGCAAATGATAACGACTGACAAATGCATTGTCCGGGAAGTGACCTAACATGAACATGACACAACGTGCCAGAAAGCATGAAAAACAAAGCGACTTTTCGAGGATCGCAACCGAACAATCTTAATCAAAAAGAGACACTTCCGAAAGGAAGATAATAAGTGTACTCAGAACTCCGCTACGATATCCACTTCATTTCGGCATTTTACTGATAAGAATAAAAAGTGATAAGGTGAACTCATCTTGTTACGAATTCGGACTATCAATTAAAGTTTGGATCATGGCTGGACAAAATCTGTTCTCTAAACGTAACATTACTGAACGAAGAAAAATCAATACGGTAGAAAGCAGTTCGATTAGTCCGTTTTGAAACTCAAACAGTAGCAGAAAAACTTACATTCTGAAATTCTTTCGTGAGCATTCGGTCCGCGGGAAATTGTGAGAGCAATTTGGACAGCAACACAATTCCTAATAGACCCATGGTGAACCGAATCACGGTGCGTTGAACTCTGAATGGAAAAGATGGAAAGTAAACGATTATGCGCATCTGGCATCGGTGACAAAGTAAAACGAAAAAAGTCAAAAATTCCAGACAGATGAAAATTCATGAAGACAATTGGCCCATTTGAACAACTACGATGAATAAGGAAAAAAGGAAGTATTACATGAAAGAGGGCAAATAGGGTGGAAAGAAGCTTTATTGTCGTACAGCTCAATATCACACTAGCGGTTATTTACTACCCGGGTTTAAGTTTCCGGTTCAGATACACGAGCAGGTTTCTTCGTGATCACGGAGTTTACCCCCGTAAGGACAACGGTGAGCACTCCAAGTGCAGGGACAAATGCGAAGCCAGTGGTCAAAACGTATGCTTTTTTACTCTTCAGGATGATTACAGTACAGTATTTTATACTTGACAATATAGACGAGACACTCCAAGCAGTTTGACGATTCTGTCTGTGCTAATCTAGCAGTGAACAATTACCCACGGTGGATGTGATCAGCAGTATATATTCTCTCTCTTAGAATAACACACCAATTTTAGGATTCACATTTCGTTGCTCTTCTCGTGCATCAATATCGTACCCCATACGTGTAAAGAGCCTCGGATACCTTAAACAACGTTATTTCTGTGCATCGCTTTACCGAGTACTGCCATATCATTCTGGAAATCTGGGGTCTTTGATCACGGTGCCTTGCTGTCAACCGTGATAAGTATGTTCAAATAATAAGACTATTGTGGGCAGCGCTTTAAGCAAAGTTGCATTGCCTAGTCAAATCTGGGCCTCGTGTGATATTGGGTTAGGAGGGATACAAACGCAAGTGTTCAACGTTATTTGACGTATTTTGAGCGGTGAGTTGCAAGTTCTGAGTAAGAGTTAATCGAGCTACAAAAGGGTAAGCGATAATTATATAAGGAAACAGGAATAGAGAGAAGAATCCAAAATGATGGGGGATCAACACAAACAAACCGGATAGGAAGGGAATTGTCAAGAACAAAACCGCATCAACGGTCGCTAACTAGTCTCTGGTACTTTAGGTAGTGATGAGGTCGGTCCGTAACGATAATTTCCATGTGAAGAAGAGAAAGTGATATCTATTAGGGTTAATAAGGTAACCATATACGAGGTTAGACGCTGAAGAAACCTCACTTGGTGGCCAGCGTATTCTGTGTTAGGAGAAGTGACAACGGCGACCGTCTTCTGCAAATATGCGCTGAATACGGTCTCTTCCTTTCGAGCACAAATTTTCGCCGACCATGACGCCAACGTGCTACCTGGCGACCTCCATCGTCTGATCAGCTCTGGACTCAAATAGACCATATTGCCATCAGTTATCGATGGAGAAATTGCATAACGGACTGCAAATCCATCTGGAGCACATATCACAGCTTTGATCATGCACTGGTG